CCTGGAACTGGAACCAGTGCTCTTAATCTCTGAGCCATCTCTCCAGTAATCCCTTACCCACTTTTTTTTTAAGGCATGATATCTCTGTGGAGTCTAAGATGGTCTCAAACTTTCAATCCTTCTGCCTCAGCCTCTTGAGTACTAGGATTAACAGGGTGTATACCACAGGGTGTGTTCAGCTAACTTTCAATGTTATCAGGAGTTTACTTGGGGCCTAGGGGAACACACCCATAATCCCACTCAAGAGGCGAAGGCATGAAGGTTACTCTCAAATTTGAACTTGAGCCACCCTGGACTACACAGTGAGTTATAAACCTGCCCGGGACACAGACCAAAAATTTATCTCAAAAAAATAACAAACAGGAGCTGGTGAGATGGCTCAGTGGATAAAGGCATCTGCCACCCAGTCTGAGTTCCATCCGTGGGACTCTCTTGGTGGAAGGAGAAAGCTTATTCCTGCAGACTGTTCTTTGACCTGCACTGGCATGCCCTGGCATGTGTGCCCCACCCCACAAATAAATAAAAGTAAATTTAAAATAAGATAGAAACAGAGGCTGGGAGGTGACGCAGTAAGATCCCTTGCTGTGCATGCATGAGGACCTGAGTTCATATCTCCAGCACCCACAGAAAACCTGGCCAGGGGCTGTGTGTATCTGTGACCTTAGTACTGGGAGGCAGAAACAGGTAGATCCCAGGGCACCACTAGTCACGATGGTGAGCTTCAGGTGAAGAGACTGTCTCAATGGGAACAGGTGGCCAGCAACAGAGGAAGACACAGACATCCTCCTTTGGCCTCTGCAGGTGGATAAATGTGAAAGCTCACTCTCACACACATATTTTCACACACACACACATGCATACACTACATACACTCCCCTAATAAAAATAAAAACATAAAGCAATGGCTATGATAATCCTACGAGGTAAGTGTGTTGATCCTCGCTTTATAAATGAGGAAGCTCAGAGAGGTCTCGTTGTTTTCCCACAGCCACACAGCTATGAAACAGTGAGCATGGTTTCAAACCCTCGCGCTTCTGACTGCAATCCCAGTGTGAAAGTAACCAAGGAACCACAAACACCAGCCCTGCCCCACATCCCAGCCTTCTCTTGGCCTTGCCCTTGCTGCCTCATGCCCTCCCGGATCTGTATTTCTCCAAGTATTTTAAGTAGAACTAAAGCTTTTCATCACCTCCTTGTCTAACCTCTACCCCACTTCAGAAGTGTTCTCCCTCAAATCTTTTCAGAGGTCCTTTTCCACCCTCTCCTCCAGGTAACTTCACACCCAGATAATGCCAAAGCCTCCGAAACTGAATGACCTGCTCCATTAGAAGCACTCCTGCAGAAGTCTCTGCTCCTCTGAGCTGCTCTTTCCCAGCCTTGTAAACTCCACACTCCTCCTTGCCTTCCCTGGAAGGCTCTCCCTGGAAAGCCCACAGCCAGGGCTCTGTGCTGTCTTTGAACCCACTCTGAGCTTCCCTTCATCGGCTGGCACAGGAGAGGCCTCAGCACCTAACAATGTTTTCTATAACATGTGCTGCTTGATGCTAATGGGGAGCTAAGATTAGGGGCTCAAAGACCTGCTCAGTTGTCAAGAAAGCCTTTCATCGGACCCAAACTTCAAGCACCAGGCCCTATTCTGTGGTGACACCCCTGGGTATTGTTACCATGGCAATGCTTGAGAGACACTAGCCACAGCGAACATTGCCTCAGCTCTCCATTTTCCTTCGTGGCTCTCCCCTCAAAGCTAAAGAGATCCTTGCTTTCCCTTCAGAGATCACAGGACCCTCAGAGTCACGATGGTGGCACATGGCTGCAATCCCAGCGTTCAGGAGGCCGAGACAGGATACAGAGACTGGGTCTAGACTGGAATACCTGGCATTCCCAACTATCCTGAGATACATAGGAAGGCCTGTCTCAAAAACAAAACAAAACAGAACTGGGCCAGGGAGATGGTCCAGAGGGTGACGGTGCTGCCAAGCCTGGTGTAGTTCAACCCCCAGGATCTCCATGGGGGGGAGGGGAGACTCCTGAAAGTTGCCCTCTGCCCCTCACATGTGTGTTGTGGCATATGCATGCCACCACCCACATCATACTCACAAAATAAATAAAGTCATATAACACCAACAACAAAATACAAGCCAAGTGGTAGTGGCACACACCTTTAATCCCAGCACTCGGGAGGCAGAGGCAGGCAGATCTCTGAGTCTGAGGCCAGCCTGGTCTATAGAGTGAGTTCCAGAACAGCCAGGGCTACACAGAGAAACCCTGTCTCAAGACAAACAAACAAACAAACAAAAACAAAACAGAAGACAATTTGCCTAACTTTTGGGAGGCCTGAGTTGGACAGTTGAAAAGGAGAAAGAGAGAGAGAGATTATGCTTGAAATTGATTGATTCCTTGCCGTCACCCCTCCCCCACATCTGGCACAGATGCAGTGGCCCAGGCTGGAACAAAGAAGAAAAGCCGGAGAGACACCTAAATGAGCTCAGTGAGAAAAGTCAGACTGGATTCGAGCGTAAAAAGAGCAAAACAAGACGGAACACCACACGTACGTAGGCCGTGCCCCAGGCAGCCTTTTACTATGACTCAGGCCGCTGACTTTGTCAAATCCCACCCCCTAGGAACCTGAGAGAAGTCAGAGAGAGGGGCAAAAACAAGACCTACAGAACCGTTGCTGCTCTACCCTCTGCCAGCCCAGGCAGCCCAGGCGCAGGAGGGCCTCTGCAGGCCAGAGCAAGTTGAGTGCTCAGCAGAGACAGGAGAGCCACCACAGGAGGAGAGGGAGCCAGGTTGCTGGCTCTAGTGGGTGATCCTTTCCCACTCCACCCAGCCTGCTTTCCCTCACCTTCCCAGACGTTCTGAAGTGGCTTCTCCACTGGTCATCAGGCAGAGCCCCCCACACTGGCTCCCAAAGGGAGCCAGAAGAGAAAACAAGAGGCAGAAGTTGTCATTGCCGTACGGGAACCGTCAAGACCCTCCTCACAAGCATCTCCCTCCGAAGGCCATCCTTCAGCAGAGTGAAGAATGGTGGCCCAGAGGGCAAGCAGCTCGGAGGATGCTGCCTGAGACAAAATGGTCCCCTGGAAGACTTACATCTTGAGTAAGAGATTGACAGGAGGGCTTGGGTAAGGAACAATTCAGGAGACAAAGGTATAGTCCTACCAGTATGAACCGGACAGGTAAGAGGAGACCAACTATGGAGCTGAGATAGAATCTGCAAACCAGGGGGACATGGACTTCTTTTTACCCCCCACCCCCACCCCTGGTGTCTCTTCTGTTTAGCTGGACTAAATGGTCAGATGATTTCCTCACCCTTCCTCCCAACATCACAGGCAGGACCCATCTCACACACCAGGATGGCCTACAGAGCCTAGGGAGCCCATCTTCGTATAATGGATAAGGCTAATGAAGTTAGCTTTAAAGTAGGTACCCTTAGTGCCTTTGCTCCCCATGACCACCCCTCCTGTTTTTCAGTCTTTACAGCTTAAAAGGACCTCAAAGTGCAAAACCCCTCACTTAAAGTCAGGATACTCAGAGAAAGAGGGGTCCCCAGGGCTGACCAGGGATTTCTTTTAACCTGACCACGCTGACCAAACAGCAAAGCCTAGGTCCCTAAGGCAAACAGGGGTGCTCTCCGTGGGGCAGAAGCGTTGAGCTGAGTTCACTGTGTGAGAATATGACAGGCTAGGGTAGGAGTCTGGGGCTTTCTTAGGGACATGTTTACAAAAGGTTCTGCTCCTCAACTCGAAGGTCCAGGTGTCGCCTTTCTCCTTGCTTTATGCCAAGCACCGTGGACGAAGACACGGGAGAATCACCCTGACCTTGAAGATTGCCCTCATAGATGCCCCTCCCTTCCAAACCTGGCAATGGTTTCTTGGCTTAGTACCCCCCAAACCCTGCAGAACTCAACCCTTCACAGCCCGAAGTCCCTTTAGGCCATCACAAATAACTGTCTGGAACAGAAATGGGGGGGGGGGGGGGGGTAAGGGGGACACAAAGGAAAATCATGTGCCTTTTGGAGTCTCAGACCTGAGTCCAGTTCTTTAGATTGAACAGATCTATGGATTCTCAGCATGACCTTGAGAAAGTCATTCAACTTCCTTGGGCCTCAATCTCCTAATCTGTAAAATGGAAACATGCACACGACTCCAGACTGTAGTTTTGTGAATTCAGCAGTAAACAGACTACCAAGGACATGGTACACGTTAACGTTCCTGAAGATCTCCACCGGGAAGGGCTTCCATGATGATGTGGTGGTCAACCACTACACTCCATGAGATTTTCAAGATTAGATGGATAAGCAAGTATGAACGAACTTGGAGCTTGGGCATTTTGACTTGGGAGGGTTCAGGGAGTCTGAAATTCTCTTGATACTATACTTGGGATAGAAAGGCAGATGCGTCCTTACGGTTCTGGAGGCTACCTCCTCAATTGGGTGTGGCATCCATCGATGTATTTCTTTCCCAGAAACCCTTCATCAGACCTGTACTCCCTCCCCCCGCCCAAGTCCAGGCAGCAACTACTTCGGGGATGATGAAGGACTAGCCGGTCCTAGAACCTATTCCCATTCATTCCTCCATAGGGACCCTAGACTTCCCATTTCTGATCTAGCCCATCTACTAATCTTCCCCTCCCTTCGTGAAGGTTGGGGCAGAGATGCAAGCCAATAACAAAGAGAAAACGCGCTTTCTCCGGGGAGGGGGCATCCCCAAAGCAGGGAACTGGCTCTAAGGGGTGGTAACACTTCAGGAGAGTGGCAAAGACAAGTTGGGGCTCCCGATGACGATGAAGGAGCCCCCTCCCACTCTGCAGAGACTTGGCTGCAGGCCTAGGCAGGCCACACCCAGCCATCCTGATGCAGGGGAGAGGAGGGGCTGCGGCGGATGGAGGGTGAGTAACCCGGAGCCGCTGCAGAATGACAGGCGTAGGGGCTAAGTCTTAAGGTGAAAAGATGTTTGCATCCCGCCCCTCCCCTGATTTCCCTTGGATGCAGCACTCACCCCAATAATGACGCTGTCGTCCCCTTGAAAAATGGGGATGAACTTGTCCCCCCGCAGAATCTCTGCCTGGTTCAGGGGCCGAAATCGGCAAAGCACCTTGATGCTGCATTCGTTGTTGGTCTCCGCCATGGTGGTCGCAAGTCTTCGGCTGCACGGGGTAGTGTGTGCTCCGAAAGAAGGGAGCGCTGAGCTGGGGTCAAGGCGGAGGACAGGTGATCTGTCGCTGGGGCCAAGGAAGCAGCTGGGACACCCGGGCGAAGGCGCGCTTTCGGTCTCCTGCGGCACTGGATGCGGCGACCTGGGCGTCTGGTCCTCTCTCCGCGCTGTGCCTCTCCGCCCCTCGCGCTGCAGCCGCGCTGCGGGCCTGGGCGGGGCGCGCAGGAGCAGCGAGGGCGGGGTTTCCTTCGCAGGGGGTGAACCACACTGGACAGCGACCACCCAAAGGTGGAGTTTGGCTCACCTGGCTCTTCGATCCTTAAGACTTGCAGACTTGCGGATAACCACGTACTCACCCCTTCCCCTCACAACTCACTCCGCTACAGGAGACCCGTTTGTTCCTTCTCTGACTCCACCTACTGGAATCGTTAAAGGGACTAAGGTGGGCCTGTGGCCTGCCTGGGGAAGAGCACCAATAGGCCTTCCATTCCTTTATTCCAGAGCATACCCCAAATGCTTTACAACCCTCTTTTCATATTTAAATCACACTTGTCATTCTGCTACAACTCCCCCCCCCCCCAAGTTTCTTTCTGTTGCCCAGAGGTACTCATGACCCAGTTGGCCTTCCTGGATGTGTGCCTATGGTAGTGGAGTCCAGGTCCCATGCCTTGGAGAAGTGGCTGGAAGGTCTAACTTACTCCCCTCCTTTTTTCACAGAAAGTACTACCCTCTGGTGATAGTCAGGTCCCCAAACAGAGTGAAGCCAAACTAGCTTCTGGGTCATCAGCATTCACAGGCAGATGGAGTCCTCAATGATGCCACTGTGGTTGGGGCTAGGGTACAGACAGGCAGGGGTAGCTTTTGCAAGAGAAAGGGAGCCTAAAAGCCTGAGGAAAGGGTGATGATAAGGACAAAGGCCAGAGGTACTGTGTGAGGATATTCCAGGACAAACAGCTATATTTGGGTTTCAGACAGGCTTAGATATCTGTGTGCATTTACTGTCCTCGTTCCCTTTGGATAGGGTCCCAACACCCCAGCTCCTTTCTCAAGGCATTCTTTCCTTCTCCCAGTTTCCTGGTCAGAAGAAAAGAAAAGAAAACCCAGGAAGTTCTTGTCCTTCCTCTCCTTGGGCCAGGCTCCCACTGCAGCCCCTGAGCAGAAACATCCAGAGCTGACCAAATTGATTTTGCTCAATGTCACAGCCTCTGCTAGCCAACAGAGAACGAGGCTGCAGGACTTGAGGTTTTAGCCAAGAGGAGGAGCAGGGTGATGGGAGAAGGTAGGAGGGGGTGGAGGCCTCCGCTGGCTCAGAAATTGACCAGGGTCTAGGTCAGTTAGGCACTATGGGACAAGGGTGAGATGACAGTGACCTAGACAAACAAGCCCTCCTCCAGGAACCCACTGAGCCAGGCCTCTGCCACTCATCCACCTCGACTCTTAAGGTGACTGAAGGAAAGGAATCGGAAGCTGCACACGAGAGTTTGGGGTCCTGGCGACAGAGGCCAAGGCTTGGACACAAGCCAGGAATGAGAATGACAATGAGTATCTAACTCAGGAGCTCTACAGGCAGCTGTCTGGCACTATTTCTGAGGACTGTAGCATCTCGCAAGCTCAGGAAATACACCGACATCCTGCCTCTAGAAGCAAAAAAGTGGCTTCCTCAGTGAAATGGCTTCAAAATGCCAGTCCTTAGGAGGGTCACTGGTCAGAGATGAAAGTTCAGTGGGTACATGCTCTGCGAACACACACACACACACACATGATAAGTTCTTATACAGCTGCACCAGTCATTCTTCAAAGAACTTTTCCTTTAATTGTTGAGATGGGGTGGGAGGGGTTCCTCTATGTAGCCCAGGCTAGCCTAAAGCTTGGTATGTGGTAGTTCAGATTGTTCTCTATGTAGCTCAGGCTAGCCTAAAGCTTAGTGTGTAGTTCAGACTGTCTTGCACTCTTGGTGCCTCAACCTCCCACAGCCGCCCACTGCTGGGAGTATATGTGGGTGCCACCATGTCTGGCTTGAGAACCTCTTCTATCCTGCGTTTGTCTTTTTATGTCTTTACTACATAGTGATAGCGATAGCACGTCGGTGGCTTTGTACTTGTTTTTCTCCTCCTCCTCTTCTGTCATTTTGAGACAGGGTTTCTCTACATAGCTCTGATTCTCCTGGAACTCGCTCTGTAGACCAGGCTGGCTTTGAATTTAGAGATCTGCCTGTCTCTGCCTCCCGAGGGCCAAGATTAAAGATGTGCTCCACTACGCCTGATCTTCTCACCTGTTTTAATAACGGCTCAGTGAGATGGCTCACCAGCAACCCATGACCTGAGTTTGATTCCCCAGGACCCCCAAGGTGGAAAAAGAAAACAGACAAACAACAGTTGTTCTCTGACCTCCAAACTCATGCAAAGACACCTGCACACCGTGCACGTGCACACAAACACACACACACAAATAAATTCAATAAATTAAATTAGGGGTCCTATTGTCATGTATTTATTTGGCAAAGGAAAAGAGTTTCCTTATGTCTGTTCTCCAGAAAGGTTTGTTCTTAGCCTGGGCACAAAGTTACTGTGTGCAAGGTCCTGAGTTCAATACTCAGCATTGAAAAGGGAGCTCCAGGCCACCCTGGGCTACAGTTCAAGACCCTGTGTGAACTTCCTCCTGTTTACGGGGACTATTAATGAAGCGATGACCACCATGGAGTGTTCAGTCAGTCTCGGAGCCATTTTGAAAACAAAACAAAAATCCATAAATAGTAGACCCAGATAAATTTGAATTTCAGATTCTTATATGCATATCACAAATAGAATAAGATGCATGCTTTTATATTAAAAATTGCTAGCTATTTACCTGAAATTCATTTTTAAAAATATATAGTATATATTATTACTATATATTTTATGTATATGGATGTTTTGCCTTCATGTATGTCTGTGTACCATGTGTGTGGCTGGTGTGCTCAGATGTCAGAAGAGGGAGGGCATTGGATCACTTGGAACTGGAGTTATAAATGGTTGTGAGTTATCATGTGGGTGCTGGGAATCGAACCCGGGTCCTGCAAAAGCAGCCAGTGCTCTTAACCACTGAGATATCTCTCTAGCTCCTGAAATTAAAATTTGTGTAGGGGCCCTCTATTTTGTCCGTCAGCCCTAATCTGAAAAGACCGGTTCACTTTTCATTCCTTACCGTTATTCACAATGTGACGAGCTTTGTGGTTTCGTCTAGTCTGTTACTATGTGTTTGAAAATAGGAATTATGCGATACCTTTAATAGAATATTAAAAATAAGAGAAAATAAATTGTATGAAATAGCTCCCTAAGGTGTGTTATTGTCGTTCCCAGACCAAGCCCCAGAGGACCGGGACTACATATCCCACAATGCCACTCGGCGTCTCCTCGCCATTACCTCATTCTCTGTCGCTCTCACCAATCCCAGCTTCTCCAGGGGTGTGGTAGCCGGCTGTCCTCGCGACTTTTGCTGTACCCTGCTGCCGGGCTACTCCTGTCGCGAGACTTCCTGCTCCTCTGCCGCTCCCTTTACCGTCGCCTGAGCCGGGGACCCGGACCCAGCCTCGCCCCCACCCGGTCACCGGCCCCGGCTCCACCGAGGCCTCGGTCCCCCAGCCCCGCCTCGCCGCCGCCATGGCGGACCCTAAATACGCCGACCTCCCCGGCATTGTGAGTACAGGGCCGGGCCCGGCTCCCCAGACTGCGCCCCCGATCTCCCAAGGACCCCCAAGAGAAATCAGCCCGCGACCCCTCCCGCTGGCAGCCCCTTCTCCGCCCCAAGGGTTATCGCCTCTCGCCCTTCGACGGCTGCAGCACCTTCTGGACTGCCGACCCGACTGGGCCGGGCCGTTGGACTCCGCGTCTGGCCCCCTTTCTGGCAGTAGCCGGTTTCTCCGCCCAGAAATCGCCTCCGGGCGCTTTCCACTTGTGCCCGAGTGTTTGTATCATCCAAGTCAACACTGCCCTTGTTGCCCCAAATTTCCCGATTGCCCACCCCCGCATCCTTACTCCAGCCATACTCAGTAGGCCACTTGATGATGGCCTTCATCTTGCCAGGGAAGAGGTTACTATCGCAGAAACCTTGTGCCAGTAGGGAGCTCTGTCCCTTGGGAGCACCTGTGCCTACTCCTCATGCACAAGCCGGCATGTGCACTTGGTTTGTGCTACCCTGCGTTCTCAGGGTGGGGAGACTGGCGCACAAGACCTTGAGAACTAAGGCCCTGAGTCACTCTCAGCCCTTGTTGCAGTGGAGTGGATGCAGGGCCTAACTCGAGGAACTGTCATCTGCTTAGGACAAAGTCGTTACCAAGGACTGGCCTCTCAGCCATGTCCAGGGTAACATCTCTCTTTTCACGTTGGTCGCTTACCCCAGGTCCCAGTTTGTACCTGGGGTTATTGAGATGTGGGGACTGACATACTCTTGGCACCGGGAGTGGAAAGCCGACAGAATCCTTGAATCACAGTCTGGGTTTTGCAGTAGCTTGTTCAAAGGGCATGGGGACAATAGGGGAATGCTGGGGTAGTGAGATCGGGTGGTCACTCCTTCTACCTGCAGGCCAGGAACGAGCCAGATGTTTATGAAACCAGCGACCTACCTGAGGATGATCAAGCAGAGTTTGATGCGGTAAGACTATGTGCTGCCTCAGGATCCCTCTGGCCTCTTACCTCTCTCCCCCAGATAGTTCTTTCCCATCCCTGACAAGCCACAGCAATAAGTGGGTATGCCAACCCCAGCTTGGGTGGTCTCAGGGCTTTCAAAGGCCTTGCTGAGCTGCCCGCCATCAATGAACAATGGCAGAAAGGAGGGTCGAGCCAGTAGGACTACAACTAACAAGACCTGCTAGTAAAACCCAAGTCTTAGGTTTTCTAAATACAATTGAAATACCCCAAAACAGTTATAGTCTCGGTTAGTGATTAAATAGGCCCCTGGGTTCTAATCCATACTTTGAGTTATAAAAGCTTGAACATTAATAAATGGGCTTAAGGTTGCAGTAGGCCTTTTTGTTTTATTATATATCTTACCCAGTGCATTCCCATTAGTATTTACCAAGAACTGGAATTTGAACCATTAGGAGCCATTAGGCAAGGTGTAACAAATGTCTTGGAGACTCCAGAAAAATAAGAGGCCTGGTTAGAGCAAAGTAATTTTGAGGAAAAACATAAACCTTATAATCAGCGGAGAAGAGACCGTGATAATATATTAGATTTGTTTGATGAGCTCATTGTATTAATCAGGAATGGAATTATTTTCTGTCATTTAACAGA